CACCTCGGTGTGACCCCACGGAGTCATTGGATTTGACCCATTTTCATTTGGTTTGATACATGTGGTATGTATGTTAACTGTGCAAAGTTTGAACCCAATAGGTTTAAGCGTTTGTCAGAGGCCGAGAGGCGTGACCCTACGGAGTCATTGGATTTGACCCATTTTCAATAGGCTTATTACATGTGGCATATAGGTCAACTGTGCAAAGTTTGAACTAAATAGGTTCAAGCTTTTGGCAGAGACAGAGAGGCGTGACTCCAAGGGGTCATTGGGTTTGACCCAATTTCAATAGGCTTAAATTACTTGTGGCATATAGGTCAAATGTGCAAAGTTTGAACCAAATCGATCCAAGAGTTTGACAGTTATCGTGTTCACAGACAGACGGACACCATCGACTCCCTTATAAAGCTTGCATCGCTTTGCCCTGCCGCTTAATAATGAACATAAACAATTAGAATTTACAAACTTGAACTTGAATATCTTGACTTTACTATAATCTGTTCACCCAACAGATGGAGTTAAGTGCCACTACCAATAAATTTTGGCCAATGTAATAACAGACTCGTTTCACAGCCACAAAATTATAAAAACCGGGAAATTTAAAATTCGCATGTAACATTGACATGACTTATTACAATGCGTCATGTTTTGAATATTAACCTTTCAACACACAGCTGTATAATTTCGAATAAGTTAAATTTTCGGAAGTCTGCCACTTTGTTGCGGTAAATTTAAATTTGTGCGGGGGATTTGAATTTTTTTCTTTGATTGGCTGTGCCATCGATTTATTAGGTTCTTATAAGAATCACGTGAAGGTACAAGATACTGCAAATTATTATAGTGAATAAAAATTGGTCTTACAAGTATTCAAATTTGCTCCCAAATTTGGGAATTATAATATGTGGACTGCGGTATAAACAAAGATTCGTTACAACTTAAAGAGGTCCCCTGAGCAGCTGATCAAATAGTATCCAGCCAAAAATGTGTTTGTTCGGTGTCCAGAATATTTTAAGACGAATAACTTTTGCTTACACGTAAGATTAGATATAAATTAAATAGCGGAAATGGTTGCATTCCAAAAAACCAAGAGTTGCAATTTAATTATTATAGAACGGGTACGCCTTGACACTGTTTCGTAAGACCATCGCGAAATGGTGACTTGAAATATGCCCGCTATGCAATGGGTCTGAGTAATTATTTTACATTGTTTTAAAATGTTTGGCACTCTTCCTCTTATATCATCCAGTTTATTGTTAGAAATTTTTGATGGAAGGCTAGCGCGGACAGAATTTCGATCGCTTTAAAAAAACGCACCGAGACGTAGTGTAGAGATTATTGACCTTCCTAAATTTATCTTCTCAAGTTTGTGATAAAACAAATATTTGTATAAGTATATATTGTTTATCATTTTTATTTATAATAGCTTCATTTGAAGCCCTCGCGCGCCTTGTTGCCATCAGTGGAGCTTTTACCAATAAGTAAGAGTTATTATATTATTCAATAATTTAAATTTGAATTGTTTATTCAAGGTCTTTATAGCTCGTTAATAATTATCGCTGTGACCGTCTACTTATATAAGCGCGTGATAAAAGGCTGTTATTGATCTTAATTGTTGTTTTTTTGTGTACGTCACAAAGGGAACTTTTGATATTCACGTATGGATTCACGGGTTATAAATTTGTTTACGTAAGAACCAGAAAAGCAGTTTTTTATGCGTAGAATCGAGTACACTAAACTCTGCGGTTAATCCTCAGGTACGCTCGCTTAAAGGTAATCAGAAGTCATCAACTTACGTTTCCTTTTGTAAGCAAGCTAACAAACAATTGTTGTTGCGCGTTCCGCAATCCGAAAAATCGTAAGAACATTCTGATTTATTGTCTCGTATTCGATCTTGAATGCAAGATTTTTGAACGAGATCCAAATATTTGTAATGGCACCCGCGCAATTTTTCCTACCGCGATCAATGTTCATTACTGAAAAGCTGGAAGGATCTTGTGAGATGAATCTCTGTGACATCATTGAGTAATTAAATCACTCAACGGTGATATCCTTAACGGTTAGATAAAAGACGCTGACTCGCGCTGAGATCTCTCCAGTTCATTAATTTATTGTTTTCAGTTTAAAAAAAATTACACCTATTACCTATTTCTATTACATAATCGGCCCACACCATCAAGAACGAGGTGGATGTATTTCGTCAGGAATGCTCTTTTCTGTTACAAAATAGTGTAAATATTTGGATTGTCCATTTAAAGTTGAATAAGAGCCAACGTTAATGCCCAAAGCCGCAACAAATAAATCGTGCTAATGCTCTGCTTAACAATTCGTAAAATACCTAATTCATTCATAACCAGATGCCAGATGCCAACCTCTTTGAGGGATGGTTTGGTGTGTTAGGCGAATTCCATTAGAGATCCCAAATTAGAAATCCATACCAGAACAGTCCTAAGCAATATAGGATCAAGTCCAATTGTAGGATTGTGTTGATTCTATAGCAACGCACAGTTGGTTGTCTGAATGTGATGTCTTCCTGGAGACTGAGGGTTTCATGTTAGCAATACAAGACCAGGTCATTAACACACTATAAAAAACACATACATAAAGACAAAACAGTGACAAATGATTCTTGTCGACTCTGTTCACAAACATCAGAAACAATCCAACATATCTGAAATCCCATCTTATTCGCGATAAAATAAACATTCAAACCAATCAGATAATAAGGCCCATGGGCTAGATCCCGAATAGCCTTAATTAAATATAAAAAAAAAAACAAAAAAAAAATATCGGCATGCACACGACTTGCACGAACAGAATACAGACATCGACACGATCAGGTAGCTAAAATCATACATCAAAAATTAGCTCTTAAACACAATCTCATAACAGATAAGACACCATACTACAAATACACGTCACAGATCATACTTGAAAACAACACACACAAATTATATTGGGACAGGACACTACTCACACTACTCACAGACAAGACTATCCACAATAATAGACCAGACATTACACTTATAAGTAAAACAAAAAAATCCATTTGTATTATTGACATTGCCATTCCCAACACTAACAACTTAACCAAAACACATGCCGAAAAACACCGCAAATACACCGATATAGCTATCGAGCTTAAGACGCAATAGAGAATGAAATCTACTGTTATATAGTTCCCATTATTCTTAGTGCTACCGGAGTTACACCAAAGACAATACACCACAATTTACAACTATTAGGTTTAGATGGAAACACATACAAACATTTACAAAAAGCAGTCATTACCAACACATGTCATATTGTTCGTAAATTTCTAAACATAACACAAGATACTACATACACACATGATCCACAACGTATACATGTAAACAACAGTACTCGCTCACAATACGGTACACAACATACAAAAACTGAAAAATGGCCGATTCCTTCCATTTGCTGTAACTCCTTTATTTTTGAAGCTAGAACAAAATGGTTTGAGCATTATTCAGGCACTTTTGAACGTAGAAAATAATGTCGTCAGTCCTTTATTTCTAGTCCTTTTAGTACCTATAACTGCGTTGTAACTCAAAGTTAATATTTTTAATGAAAGTTACAGTTTACAAAGGTTTTAAAAGATGTATTGTTTTACGAGCTTTCCCAAAATGTAGGTATAATATATCATATGTACTTATATTTTCAATAACAAGTTTCCTACAATAAATTTTTCTTAAAACATTTTGTGTGAAGGTAGTAAATAGGTAACAAAAGATGGTCAACTATATTTTTCATAAAAAAAATCAACTTTTAGTTGCAGCGCAGTTACTGAGGCAGTTACTACCTAAAAGGTCTAGAAACAAACGACTGCCGGCATTAATTTCTACTTTAAGAAGTGCCTGAATAATGCTAAAGCCACTTTGTTCTAGCTTCAAAAATAAAAGAGTTACAGCAAATTGAAGGAATCGGCCATTTTTCAGTTTTTCTCTCTATGGAAAAACAAAGACGGCAGCTTATATCTGGCAACGGTAATGGGATAAGCATGAAAAAAGAGATCACGAGTACCTAAACTGTTTTCGTTTATCTGCGCGCTAATAAGAAACTTAATCATTTAATTCCATCAAAATTGGACTACACTGTAGGTACATTTGCAAAATGGAAATCAAAGCAACCGTTTTTGCATTTTGCCGTTGCATATTTGATTTATTGTAAAATGAACCTTTTTATTTTGTCGATTCTACGGTTTTGAAAAACGGAAAATTAAAACTAATAGGATGAACAGATGCAGTATTTTTTTCCCTAAAAAAACGTATTTAGACTTTTACTTTAAAATAATTAGGGGAGCTAGTAAAGTAAATGACTATAAAGAAATTACCTACCATTGAAATCCCTATGCTGCGCCGCGCTAGGCACCACCCTGTATACAGTTCTCTCTCCAAATGAAAATTCTTTGAGTCGATTCAATGAAGTCTTTCCAATTAAATGCATCTAATTCTTATACCTACTGTTTACCCTCGTGTTTACCATTATACCATGTGTTTACACAAATAAACGAATTTATATAGAAAAAAATCGGTGACGTGGAATTTGAAACTGTTTACAAGCAAACCTTTAGCGAGAAGGTAATTTATTATTTACGCATTGAGAGTCTTATATAAACAACCGACAAGGTCGATTTTTGTCTCTTTGGAATTATTCCACGAGATCAGCGATCATGAAAAGCTGGAGTTACACATTTTATTAATTGACAGGGACGATCATTTAATACTTGCATAACCCGTTAAGAAATATTTTCAAATGGGTTTAGATTTTTATTATTGTAAGAAAGTCTTCAGTATTATATTCATTACGTAATCCATAAGCAGCATAAGCTGTTTGTGTATATTCTCTTACATTACCTTAGCACAACGTAACACAGACTCCGTAAATAATAACACCTGCCGCGTTTTACGTAACAATTAAAAATTGTAATGTCACAAACTTGGAAAAGGGACAATGAATGGCACACCCCAATTTCTTACCTTCTTCCTCGAGTTTCTTTAGCTTTTCGATGATGTCTTGTATCAAAATATTCGTCCGCAACAAAGCGCCAAGTTCCGTTTTGCACTCGCTGCATTTCCCAAAGTGCACAATGTGTAAACAATCCTTGCAAAACGTATGGCCGCAGGTGACCGTAACCGGCGTTTCCAAAACGTTTCTACACATCGGGCACGTAAAAAACGCCGCGTCCGCCCTTTTGACTCTCAAATTTGGCAACTTCTTCGTCCTCTTCATTTCATTTTTAACCATATGTTTACGTAGAATCCTACCCGTTCTACATATACGACCACCGCCGCCGCTATCGACGGGGTCGTAATTATTTAACAACTCTGGATACTTTCGCAAAATGTGATCGACCGATTTTTTGAGGCATGATTTTTTCGACATTTTCCCACACGTTTTGAGTATCTATTGGAGTAACGTGAACACAACCGCACGTGTTGCACGGGACGATATCTAGCACAGCTGTATCGATTTTGCACGTCTCTTGCGCAACAATAATGTTATGTTCTACTAAAATAAAATCGTACGGAATTTGTCTAATCGCAGGTTGTTATTCAACGTTCCCTTAAATTCCTAGGAAAAATCGTAACCATGAATCATGGCAACTCCTTCTCCTTATGCGATTTACATCAATTATATAACCATATAGAAAAATTACGGAAAAACAAAAATGTCGTTAAAAGGCAAACGTGGGGACCTTCACTGTTTCGTAAAAATTTAATTAAACGCGGAATAGTTTTCGTAAAATTGGACGAGATTATGTAAACAAAGACGATCGTAAAACACATGTACGCACAATCCTGAGAGGTTTCTGCATGTTCACTACTGCGACAACTTTAAACAACTGACGATCGGACGATCGCCGGTCGCCGCTCGTAGCGACGTTGGCGATGATTCGCGCGTTTAACTTATCATGCACCAATCGCGTTCGAGGTCAGCGCGATTTGGACGCTTCGCGCTCTTTTTTCTTCGTAAATAATTTATATGTGGCATACTTTAATTTGTATGGTTACGTAAGGCGTACTTTTTATGTCATAGTTTTGCGTTTTTTCTTTCATTTTAGGACAATTCCAAATTCAAATTTACACCCCCATTTGAACGTAAGCACAGACAATTGGAGGCGCGGAACTTGACACACCGTGACAATTACCGTATCTGCTTACCAAAGTTCGTTGCCCTTAATTTGTCATTCAATTAGGGCCTTTTGGCTGTTGACGTTCGCGACACAAAAGGAAGAAGGGCCATTTATCCAATTGGAAAACAAACGTTGGTGTAGACACAATTTGCAATTTTTGGAGTACTCCGTTTTAAGTAGGTAGTTCGTTATTATCACGGTGATCACCGTGGTTATCATTTATTAGGGGAGACCGGGGCTAGTTGTCACAATTTTGGATTCAATCGCCTTTTAATATTTTGAAACCGACATTTTTAACACTTTTAGATTGTTTGACTAGTGACAACTTGCCCCGCTTGATTTGTGATAACTTGCCCCACTTAACCTATCGAAACTGAATGATAGATCAAAAGCATTCAAATAATATACACATATCAAAATATACCTACATAATGGCCCGTATGAATAAAGGGAGCAAATGCTTATACCGAAAAATCTCCTGAACTGTGGAGTTGAAGGAGAGTCCATGATTTCCTTGACCCTGTTCGGACACTGAGAGCTCCCGGTCCACACTCAGCGCTCACATTGAAAATGAAAGTTCTATTGAGAGAGAGTTTTATGAGAAACCTTTAAACGTGCCTCCTACCAAGCTTGAGTACGACGGCCTCTGCGATGCCAACCCCGATGAACTACTTCCACTACATAATTGAGTTTCAGTCAATGCTACACTTAGTACGTTTGAAATGCAATTTAATTGACAAGACTTTCGCATATATAAGAAATACTAGCTGAATTTTCAATAAGTTTAATGATTTGTCATTCAATCATAATCTTTACCTGAAAACGTCAAGAAAATCTAAATTTCAGGGCTATTTTGACATTAGAAAGTTGATCTTTACCTGACTAGACCTGTAATATTTTTACCTGACTCCCATTACAGTCCTAGTACATGCAAAATAACAATTAGATCGTTCATTGAATAAGTTATTCAATCAACGATTGGATAATTATAATGCAGACTATGTGGATATTTTTAAATATTAATATACCTACACAAAGGACTATTACAGGTCATAGAGCTGTAAAAAATACTGCGCGACTGTTTCGAGAGCTCAGGATACTTTATTCCCTATTCGATGTCCGATTATAGCTAAAGTATTGGACATACAAAAAAAATGTTAATATGCTTTTTTATGGGCAATTTAATAAACTATATTTTTTATCTAAACTATTTTTCCGTATCAGTAATCGTTGCCGATATATAGGCAAGAAACTGAAAGAGTACACCTTTTTTCCAAGATGGCATGGCGCCTCGAGCGCAACAGAACAGAACAGGTCATGACATTTTTTATAGTCAAAAAACCACTTAAAAGTGCCTTCATAAAAATTTATGTTTTTAGAGATTTACACCGGGATATCTCGGCTCTCACACGAGATATTGTTATAATTGTTTATATATATAATAGTAAGCGCTTCTAACTATGCCTATTACGTCGAAAACATGATATAACTACAATATTATAATTGTCATCAAAGTCGATAAATCGATTATTGAGAAGCGTAAACTTCCCTCTGCGAGAAACTTTTTTATTATTTGAGGAATCTCTATACATGTATCGTACGAATTGTAGCTGACAGTCACCAAAAGTTTTTGGTGAAAGAATTTTAGTGATAGGTCTTACCGTTTTCGAGTAAATCGTTTGCAGCTAAAAGGTAAAAACGTTGGGGATTTATTATAAGATCTTAGTCTGTAGAGTGTAGTGTAGCCAGTAGAGTAGCATTGGTATGCTTATGTTTGTAACTCGAAACTTTCTGATCGCAGGCGTTCTGCTTCTGCAGGTAAATACGGAAACATTTGGCCAAATTGTACGTGGGCTAAACCGATTGACTAATTCGTGTCTTTTAAACGTGAGAATGCAGACATACAACTGTGAATTTGATTCTATAAATAAGCTTCTCTTGGAACATCGATTTCCCTTACGGCCTTCGGGTGTTACATAATGAGGTGCGAAGAAACATCCCTTAAACAATTATTTTTACAGGCAGATCTAAGTTTAGTCGCACCAGGTGATATTTTTAACAGGCGAAAAACTCCATTTTCCATGTTACATAATTGGAATAAAATGTATATTGTTAGAATGCCATTGTTGTAATCTCCGTATAAATTCTTTATATAATTTTCAAGACAGATGACTCACTTTATGTGTAAATGAAAATAAAACTCTACCACAGATAAAATTGGGTATTTTATCTGTGACTCTACTGTACTTGTACATCAAACAAATTAAATTTATAACGTATTTTCAATATTTCTGCGTCAGTGTTAACTTTTGTTTTAAAATTAATTCTTCAACGATTTTGCAATTATGTGTAATTAGTATGCATGTGTACTATGTTACTATTATCTAGAATGAGTTACATAAAGTAATAATTTATTTCACCTGGAATGAATGACATGTTAGGTGGTGTATCACAGATTTTCTCAATAAGTGGTAGGTAATTTTGTTGGAGACAATAAAAGTGAGATGTCTGATCGATAAAATTTACAGTACACACATTGCCAGAATAATCACTAGGTACTAACATTGAATAATTTTATTCAATGCTACTAAGTTCTTTGCAATAACTACCCACGTTACGGGTTTACTATGTATATACGAGCACATAGGTGCATTAACATTAACCAGTAGTGTTCCCACGAGTCACATAAGGCACGGTTCATGGTCATCTATCTCGATTATCTGATTACGAAATATGCGTTCACTTATTAAGCAGGCCTTCCATGTGCATTCATTTCATCGAACATTGAATTAACGCCGTGTTTTCGAACTTGGAACACAATGTTGAAGCACCACTTCCACGTTCGCACATGGTTCGTACAAACTTGGCGAACAAATACAGGCGCGGGATGATTTCTTTTCGAAGCTAAAGAATATCGCACAGAAGAAAGAAATCTGAATATGAGAAAAAAGAAAGAAACTACTGGATGAAACCGTGGTACTTGAAAAGGCACGAATTCCCTCAATTGTGATTATTGAAGGAAATAAACAACACAAGTACTTCGGATTATGTGAATTATTAGTGCATGGATTCAAATACATTCGAATGCCTATTATTATATTATAGAAAAGTCGATAAAAAAGATTCGCTCACAAACTCTTTCTATCTCACCTATTATGTCTTAACCAGGTGCGACAACTACATGCACGGTCGCGCCCAGCATCGTTCCGCCCCAAAAATTCAGGATTGACAAAACTCTTCGCTCCGCACCACGGTGTAAGAAGTATACCGTGCTCCGCACCAAGAACGATGCAAGCTTTGCGTGATGTCTACTTCCAAGTTCGAACTTGGTCTGTTTGCACTTTGCAGGAGTGTACACAGGTACACTGTACACTCCATGTTCGATGAAATGAACGCACGTGGAAGGCCTGCTTTTATTCGCGGTTTTCTATTTACAATTTCATGTTTTCGGAACGTTATTTAAAGTTACTATCTCGTAATTTGACGTTATTTGTTAATGTAGCGCCATCTATTTCGTGTGCCCTGGTACCACAGTCCAGACTTCAGACGTGACGGTGACGTTCCGTTCCACAATGTGTTTATAACCTAAAATATTTTAGACATTTTTCAAAAAATTTCAGAATTTTAAAATGACTTTTTTTAAATCATTTGAAGAATTTGAAAAAGCTGCCGAAGCTCTATATCTACAGTCACCTTCCAGCGTTAGGTATACAGTTAAATATATTCATTCGAAGAATGTTATGGTAATGAAAATAACAGATAATGTAATTGTGAGTAGTAATTTGGGTCTTTATTTTCAATCTTATTTATAACGTGAATTTACAGTGCTTTCAATTTAAAACTGAAGTCGCTCAGGACGTTAAGAAGATGGATAAATTTATTAACAATTTAATGCGACATATGGTATCCAAAGAACATTAACGTATCGACATTGCATGTGTATATTTCAGTACACATACACCGTGGGATTCTTGTTCTATAATTAATAAGATATGGTAAACTATTGTTTGTTATGCAATATCTAATTTATAGTTATTTTATTTTGCCATGAATTTGTAATAAATTTCCAGTTTATTTACACGAATGGCTTACATAGTGCAACAGAATGATCGATGCCACAAGCAACGTCTTTAACGTATCCACTTACAGCTACTTTAAGAGGGAAATGTTGATCGTTTTTAATCCCCAAACCGAGACAATTATGTTTGTTTCGCCCCCATGCATACAGATCGTGATAATTTGTGACCGCACACAAATGATTAATTCCACAATATACTGAGTTTACACAGGTGTCCGGTTGAAAGTCATTGACACCAAAAAGAGTCGCGGGGATTTGAAGGGGGACTTTTGACGATTGCACTGAAGGGCCCACCCCTAGAAGCCCGTAACCCCAGACGTACACATTACCTTCCTCAGTGACAACCGCACAAAATGTGCCACCGGTCGCAATGTCTCGTACATTTCCAATTTTTGTACACATTTTGATAAAGGTGGGATGGCAAACTTGCTGATTTCCATCTGTGGTTGTTAATTGAGCATACTCTGTATTTCCCCAACCGAACACGTTCCCCTTATCATTTAAGGCTAGATTAAAATCAGCCGATGTGGCTATTTTCACTATTTTCTCTGATTCAATGTCACCGTTTACCTTTGTCAATTGCGAAACCGAGTTGAAGTGGCCTAAACCCGTTTGTCCATCAGCACCCCATCCGCATGAGTATACACAACCATCTTTGGTTAAAATTAAGGTATGATCTTGTCCACACTGTATATCACTTATAACTTTATCGTCAACTGACGAAATATGATTAATGAATGTTGTTAAGCTGTAATTTTCATCCTGTATGACCCTCCTCGCGCACTGCCCGTATGAGTTATTACCTAAAAGGAAGATACCTTCATTAGTTAATATAACAGAGTGAGCTCTTCCGCCTTTAACTTTGAGCACTTTAGCTTTATCTGGCGATTTAAATGGCAATATAATCGGTTGAGGTCTGAACAGTATTTCTAAAGGTTTATTCCGTCTAATTGTGTGATATCCTATCTGTGAGTCCGTATTTAAGCCAGTCCCGTACAGCTTCGTATTTGATGAATCCACACCAAAAAGGGTAAATCCATATCCGCATCCAATACTGGTCACGTTATGCATTTCGGCAAAGGTTAAGCGTTTAGGGGAACGTTGAGAAGTTTTCTTTTTCAGATCGTGATTCTTTGAAAGCGTACCAAGAGCTCCGGTCAAGTAACATCCCCATACGAAGATTCGATTGTACGAAGGTTTGCTTTCTCCATACTCAAAAATTGGCAATTTCTTTTCGTCCTCCAGGTTTATGGGATATTTTCGTTTAGTTGATAGAAACCGAATAAAACCTGATGGTCTTAGAAAAATGTTTTTGGAAAACATTATTTCAAATATTTGAGGTTACGTTCACTTCACAAATAAAATATGATACATGGGATATTTCGAAAGTTTTAAAGACGCTTGTTTGAAGAATGAATATGTACCTACTAGGCTACTACTATGAATTGAATTGAGCAGTGCTTTTGTGGATCATGGACAATTGTGTTGTTATGTCTCAGCCTGGGCAATGGTTTAAAAAAGCTTTATGGCCGTATGCATCAAAAAAGTTTAAGCGGGCTTAGTTTAAGAGTAGCTAATAAATCCATGGTAACGATTATTGGGACAATGGCTGCCAATGATTTTAAGCTAGGCTTAAGCTAAGCTCAGCACCTTAACATTTTTCGGTGCATACGGCCATTACACTTTTTGCTCCAAGGTTGGTTGGTGTGGCATGATTAAGCTGTAATATTTTAACGCCGCCTGTTGTTTTGCTCTGTCCTGAAGCAAGCAACCTAAGAGTTTTTAATAACGGAGCTATGTAGTTGTTCATTAAAGTCGATGCCGAAGTATTAAATAGTGAAATTCGCGCTCGTGTTATAAGGTACGTGTGAAAACAAGTGATAAATAATAATCAATAACTAAGCGGTTTAAATCAATCTATTTAAACACAATGTGAACATTGATCATAAATTACGGACAAGATATAGGGTAGGCTTTTGGCGTATGTATGGTAAACTATTCATCAGGCGTAACTTTAAGTTTTAAGTAAACTTTGTTGCCTATAATTTAGTTAAACTATTACATATACAATGGTTAAGCACTATTGTTTCTATTATATGAAAGCACTACACTACACTTGTCTTATGTCTACAAGCAAATTATAATTAAAATTAAGAGCCTAGAAGCATATTTATGTTCAATCTTTAAATCTGGAGTATATAGACTGTTACAGTGTAAATATGTAATGACTCGGTATTATCACAGAAGTGTAAACAATACCGTTCAAACAAGAAGCGTTAATTATCTCAATGTCAATTATTTTTAAGGCCTTGGGGGTGAATTTGGTAGTGGAAATGCACTCTAATTGCAAATGCGCATTGCTTGCGCGGTTGTGCGCGTTCATTTGATCAGTTGCGAGATGTCTTTTCATTTTAAGATGGAGTCAAACACAGCTGACGAAATGTCACAGATTTGTCAGAGTTAGTGGGTGTCGGAAGTTTTTTTTTACACAAACGACGAAATATTTTCGTTTTTTATAATTTTTACCCAATTTACACACATTTTAATTTAATACTAGTCATAATGCAGTGATTTTAATCCTTAGTGAGACATAAAGGAGTACCTATTACAAAGATGGACTTGGAAGATTCGGGAGGAGGTTTGGGTACGGAAACGATTTATGGAACCCACGAGGATTCGCACGTTGTCATGTCCGAAAAGGTTCAATCTCTCGCTGGTAGTATTTACCAGGAGTTCGAGAGAATGATCGCACGGTACGATGAGGATGTTGTCAAAACTTTGATGCCGCTCCTAGTTAACGTCTTGGAATGCCTGGATTCCGCGTATCAAGCTAATCAGGTACACTATGCTTGTGTTCGAACAGATTGATTGTAATACACTCTAGGAGCAGGACGTCGAATTGGAGTTGCTGAGGGAAGACAACGAACAACTAGTCACACAGTATGAAAGGGAGAAGGGTGCAAGGAAAACTTCTGAACAGAAGCTTCTAGAGTTTGAGGATGCTGCAGAAGGTACCCATATTGCGCTTTTAATCGGTGTATTTGTAATAAGCTTTTAGGTGAACGTAAGGAGTTATCCGCAAGGTTAGAAGCGCTGGAAAGCATTGTCAGAATGCTGGAGCTGAAACACAAAAACTCAATGGAGCACGCCGGTCGATTGGAAGAGCGGGAAGGCGAACTAAAAAAGGAGTACGCAAAACTGCACGAGCGGTACACGGAACTTTTTAAAACTCACATGGATTACATGGAACGTACAAAGTTGCTCTTGTCAGGGCAACAGTTGGCAAATGAGAGGGCAGATGTGGGAAGATTAAATGTCGGCCGGTTGAGCATCGGGCGAAGTTCCGGTCCCATTTCCTTCGGTTTTGCATCACTAGAAGGGGCGGCTGAGGGTGTGGATAGTGTGCCAACATCGCCAATTAGTAGTACACACTCATCTCCCAGGTATTATTCTTTTGTTTGTTGTTTTCATATGACATTGCGGAAGATCGTATTACTTACATACAGCATGGATTACAATTATTATTGCATCATGGTCCACCGCAAGCGGAGTTCCATTGAAGGTCAAATTTTGAGAATTTTATAAATTGTGAAGGTTGCTTTGTTAATGTCATACCCAGTGCTCGATTTGAGGTGGAACGCGGTGGAATGTGTACTTGCACTTGGTAATCTTAAAAGTGCATCAGTACTTTTTCCTCATATTAAGGAAAATAGCAAAGCTAACGTTGTGGTTTGCAAGCAGTGATATTTATCAGGGATCAGGGATGTTGCTCTTTCTTATTGTTATAGTCTGTAAAATGAGTAAGTTTCGATTTCGAATTAGCGCTTAATTAACGCACGCCATCAGTTTATATATCTTTGCCGTTCTAACACATAATAATTGTGGTAGAAGGCAAGTGGGTAGCCAGTTTGGTCACCGCGGGTGGTGAACTAAGAAGGACGCTCTATGTTAAAGGAATTTTAAAAATAAATACATGCACCAAAAAGAGATATCAATACGTAAGTCATGCTTTGGCGCGGCTCGGGAAACGTCCATTTAAAAGTGCAATGCAGTGCTCTGGTTAATCAGTAGGTACGTACAAGCATTTGAAAGAGAACAAAAAGTTGTGTGTAAAGTAATAAATAAAAGGCTGAAGCGTGGGAAAAAAACTCCCACAGATGCTGTTCTACGTGACATACTGGGGAAAAAGGATGACAAGATCCGAAGCACTCTGCGACAGTGATACTGTAGCAGTTTCCGAAAATCCTGGTATAAGACCAAATGTTTTTACGGTTCTAAAATACTACTGTAACAGGCAGCGGCTCCTAATGTGTGAGCCTCCGCCAAATGAAGATTCATGCCTGGCATTGATGGTCGATGGAGGGCCAGAAAGGGAGCGATGGTGCGCCACAGTCATCATCTTCATCAGAGCTCCCTAATAATTTTAGATTGGAGTTACTACACCCCGAAATGTTAAAACCCAGTGATTGCAAAGTTGACAAAACAAATATTTAAAAAAAGTTAACCACAGAAAGGTTTGAAAACTAATGAGAGTTAATAATATTCTCATCGTTCCCATTGCATGTAGCTTCTCACGGCTCACTGCACGTACTTACACATAACCTAACTTCGTTTATGTCAACTGGCATATTTTGACACCAAATCCTACCAACATAAAGAAATATTTTGGTTTACAAACTACGGTTTGCTTAACCGAGATTTCGTCACTGATAAACCGCAGACAGGTTAAAATCTTGGTTAAGTATTAAATACTTAACCAATATTTTAACCTTCAACTGAAAAACCGGGCCTAAGAGTACCTAGTCATATCACAGAAAAAAAACACATTTTCAATGCTGACTTTTTCTGATTAAATATTTATAAGATATACTTACTGGTCATGTATAATTACTCTGTTATTTTATTTATAACCTACGTGATGCTTGCGTCCCAATGCCATAGCGCCTCAATTACACATACACTATACCTATACTGTATTCATTATAAGAAGGTAGTAGATGGCGCTGTGTTTGAAGATAAACACACACAGGAAAAATATGAAACTGCACCAAATTATTGTAAAGTAGAAATATCCAGCACTGCATACAGAAATAAATCTTTGACATTAACAGTTAATGACACTTCAAGAGTTTAGATGGCAACAGAAACTACCAGCTTGCAAAATTCGCCACTCGTTTTATGTTTCAGTGTAATACTGAATCGTATTCAATCACACTGAAGGTCAAAGCTTCCCTATGGTTTCTACCGCTACCTTCTTAAAATGAATACAGTATAGCATAATATACATATTTGGTAAAATCCACTATTACACCTATAATAGGTGAAATTCGGATTTTTTTGTTACAGCCTACATAGCGAATTAGATAACGTAAATCGCGCGGTTCACACGGTCGAGCGTTCTCAAGAAACGGATTCGCTTAATTTAGAGCATAAGAGCATGGTAACTTCGCCAATTAGTCCTCCAGTCCAAGTGAATAACAACACGGGTCGTGTACAGACGCGAAGGGAACAACGCAGCGGGAACACCCTGTATCAAGAACTCAGTTTTCAGGTAGGACCTCGGATTATTCTTTCTCTGAATGTTTTATTCGTGTGCTTTAGGATGTCGATGCTTTGGGCGATATGGACGATGGAGCCGATATTACGGGTGGATGGGTACATCCAGGGGAATATGCTTCGTCAGGTATGTTTAACGTTGTCCCGTTATTAAGCATGGCCTTGTAATAGTTTGTGCCTACTAATATATAATCTTTTTTCGCTACGCTTGACGCTGTTGTTCTTCCAGTCAACGATAACTTTTTTGGTAAGGATAATACTTATTTAATACAGTTGTTAAACTTGAAATTATCCATTATCTCTCAGAGATAAAGGACGGTTGAAGTTATTTCATGTTTAACTACAAAGAGGTGATGAGTTACTGTCAGTTTTAACATTTTTAACGGTTTCCTTTTTTGCGCCTTCAGCAAGTGCGTTAGGATAGAACTTGAGCAACTTTCCGTTTGTGCACAAAAAACAGGAAGGTCATAAAAATTTGTTCCAATACTACAAAGGCAGTCGCCTAAAAAAATTAAATTCGATCACTCTACATCATCTGGACAAACCGTATCATTACGCACATTCGCAAACTTATCATTCTGATATCACAGACAGTTATGTATAGAGGGCCAAAAATAGAAAACTATGGTTCCTAACATTGTTAAAGGAGCCACTGAAACCAGACTTGACGTCTTAGCGTTTGTCACGTACCGAGACAAGACAACGCAACGATTTAAGTACAAGCCATCTCCTTACTGTCTGTGCGTGCATGAGATCTACTTAACATTTGATATTACTCGTAGTATTTTACAAAATTTTTGCAACTTTAAGAACTGCTGAATGACACAAGCGACCTTGCAGAGTGATCGAATTCTTCTTAAGAAAATTGATTAATTTTGTGCCTAATCTAGCACAAGCTTTTACATACTAAGTACTAGGAAATGCATGATGATCTATAACTCAGCAATGTGAGATTTGTAGACAATAATCAGTGATTATTTTTATTGTTCATCACCTTATTAAACTTTCTTTGTTAACAACGCTTTATTATAACTGTGCTATACTTTTTTGTTTAGGCATGGGAAAAGAAGTTGAAAACCTCATTATGGAAAACAATGAACTGTTGGCTACCAAGTAAGTATTTTATTTGAGTTCTGTTCGAATGGATTTAAATTTAGTAAGATATTTAAATGGTTTCTGATCTAAATTCGTTTGAATGTTTGAAATTTGTTACCTGACTAAATTTACACTTCAAACATTTAGCAAATTTCATATATGAATTGAGTATCGCCGAGCACCCTTTATACTAAGTACATAAGTAGAAAGATCCTAAAAAAATCGTAAAATATTTCATACTTTTCATCAAACGAGTTCATATCAAACGTGTATCATTCAAAATTTAATCTACGGTCCATTTAATAACGGTCCAAATAGTTTTTATTTGCATTTTGATATGAACGTTTTCGGAAATTAAAATTCAAAATTATCAAATGCCCATTCTATTTGATGTCATGGTATTCGCGTTTGTTTCAATTTTGGCTTTCGGGGTGAAAAATACTATTTACTATCAAAATGATCGATTCATTCTGAATTTGAAGTTCCTTCGGATATGGAAGGCATGACTCAAAACGTTATTGATACCCTACTTTCGAAAAAATAAACAATGTATGTTGTCTTCAATTTAAAATGCGCGTGTTTTAATGTATTCATATTAATACTATTATATATTATTATACAGTGATATTCTTTAGAAGTAGCCATAGAGATTTCCGTGTAATGTTTCTCTGTATGTCTACTCTTAAATGACAAAATCCTTCTGAAGGGCGCCTAATTTTATGCAACCAAAATAATTTCTTAAAACAAATGAAGATCTGGCTCTCATATTAATTAATTTGAATATTATTGCTTTTGTATTTTTATTGTCGTTCGTGTGCGGTAAGGGAAGAAAAACTTGATATTGTTACATTAATATAGTTGGTATAGTGCCGGTAACAACTAAAGGAGCGTAAGAAACTTATTTTCTGTGAAATATGTTGAAAGGCTTATACCTTGTGTTCAAACAATAAAAAAAATTGTAGATCGCTTTAAAATTAGTACCTAGTTGTTTAAAAGGAGCATTAAATTTATCACACCGTTTCCATTAAGCGTGTGCAATGCAATTGCAAACTCCGGAATGAGTGCGCTTGAGTTATTTTGGTTCCATAAAATTAGGCATCCTTCAGAAGGATTTTGTCATTTAAAAGTAGACAGGGAAAAGCAATACACGCAAATCCCTGTCGACTTCTGAATATCACTTTAGATTATTGGGGATTTACGATAATTCAACCGGTTTAGCTGGGTTGGTAGATTTTGCTATGGTTACAATTATTGCCACAATTGTTTCTATGGCGATTTCTACCAATCCGATTAAAGCGGTTGAATTATCGTAAATCCCCATTATCAAAGCTGCAATGACATCCAAATGGCCATGCTAAATTTGTCATAATGACATCGTGGTAGATTAATGGGATTAATTGTTTATAGAAATGCGCTAAATGTCGTTAAAGACGATCTCATAGTGAAAGTTGACGAACTTACCGGCGAAGTTGAGATGCTACGTGAAGAGATTCTGTCGTTAAACATGTCTAGAGATAAATTACGTAACCGCGTCACCGACTTAGAAGACGAGCTAAAGAAACTACGCGAGGCGAACGAGAACAAACTCGAAGCGAACGAAGACGAGGCTGACATTCCTATGGCTCAACGAAAAAGGTTTACACGTACGGAAATGGCGCGGGTCTTAATGGAACGTAATCAATACAAGGTATAACCATATCTATTAACATTAGTGTGACCGCTTGGTTTGCAGGAACGTTTCATGGAGTTACAAGAGGCCGTACGTTGGACGGAAATGATACGGGCGTCGCGGAGTGACACCGGCGTAGATAAGAAAAATCCTCAGAGCATTTGGAAATTTTTTAGTAATTTATTTAGTAGTTCCGATAGGCCACAGCGGCAAATACTCTCGCCTCATTTAAGGTACCAAGCCGCTACAAATCAAATTGCGCCAGGTGTTAGGGCCCTTCCTCGACCAGGACAAGATTTTTTAGACACTGAAGTGGGTACGGAAGTTTGAATTTTTTTTTATTTTTACTCGCCGATCTGCTGTCAATTGTCTGTGATACTATTTATAAGATGTATATGTTGTGTATATATTTATTTTTTATATTCTCATTTACTTTCTAGTAGGTGTTATTCAATTCTATGCATGTTTTGTTTGTGTTTATTCTAGGGAATGTTGTATGCTTACGTTTTGCTTTATTTCCGTATATACTTGAAATCACGAATCTTTGTCCCTGCGTCATTGATTTGTGAATCATTTTCAGACAAGTTTTTTATCGATTTCGCATACTTGACAGATATTACAGTGTTTTAGCGTATGTCTGAAATTGATTCACAAATCAATGACGCAGGGACAAAGATTCGTGATTTCAAGTATATATACTTTCCCTTTACAATGTTATGAAAAGCACAGATTTCACGAATTCATCAATGCCAAATGTGAAGTTGCATTTTTCCAAGCTCGTTGAAAAAATTTAGAAATCTTAATTTTTTAAATACTAAAATTTCTTGAATAAAATTAATCTTGTGATAATAAAATAATAAAAATAATGCACCTGTCATATCTCTGCACCTTAAATGACCCTGTGTTTAAGAGATTTAAGCAACATAGAAGAGCAAGTCAGTTCGAATTAAACAGCAAACCAAACTAAAGATGATTTCTTGGTTTCTCTGAATTCTTATCAATATCAAAAAACTTGCTTGTTTAAAAGTAAGTTACTTGATAGAAAAATGGTTCAATATGGGAACATTTCTCTTTGGACGGGTTGATTTCTCACGTTTCAGTTTAACTTATTCACCATAACAGCCCATAATGTTTTAGGGAGGATAAGTTCAATGTGGACTGCATATCCTCTACCTTTCAAATTTTCTAATTTCATTAAACTGAGCGGTCGCGATGACGAAAAGTAAGTTTTAGTAGTAAAATGTGAACATTCAATGCATTGTAGCATATTATACTTAGTATTGGAAATTGCCTACAACGGGAGCCAGAATTTCTGTTCTTTTTTCACCCATGGCATTGATGAATGATGCAAGCAAGCAAACTTCCGCTGTACTGTTCTAAGGCTTATAGCATCAGCTGTAATGTTCAATTAAAATAACACTGATTACAGAGTTTGCATTTGTAACTTACTACCTCACAATTCACATTTAGCAAAATTGCTCATGATTTACAGCTAATGCTTCTTAACTTTTGGAAGGCTTTATTTAATACCATATAATAACTCTAGCGATAATCTAACCAAAAATGTATTTTTTGGATATTTACCAGACTGATCTTAGTATTCACACAAAAGTAGTTACCTAACTAGTCTTGCATTCGAACAATTATTGCCATACAAGAAAAGGTACCTGTGTCAGCGTAACATATTGTCTGAGCATAATTTTTTTAAAATATATTATTTATGATTATTAGCGTTTTATTTAATTTAATTTGGTAGTGTGCGCCGCTACACAAAAAGTATCTTGGCAATTGATTGTAGAAATAGTAAGTGACTTGAGGTTTTAAACATATCATTTTTACATAGCGCATTTTATAGGATCTGACCGTTTGATTGCGAGACGGGCGGTCGAAAGGAAAGAACAATATAGGCAGGTCAGAGCCCACGTTCGAAAAGAAGATGGTCGATTGCAAGCGTACGGTTGGAGTTTACCAGGCAAGACGAGCAGCGCGAGTAAGAGCACGCATAGCAGTAGTGGCGGAGTTCCAGTTCCGGTGCCGGTGTATTGTCGCCCTTTGGCCGAAACCTCGCCTGGAATGAAAATTTGGTGCGCCGCCGGAGTAAATCTGATGGGCGGATACACACGAGATGGCGGCCTAATGGTAATCATTTCTAATTGAGTACTCACACTCTATTGTTCACTTTTAGGTAGGGGGTAGTGTGTTTTATTACGAAGAGCCGGAGGTGGAAAAAGCGCCAACAGACGACGTGGAGAGTTTAGACAAAGAACTGAACGCGAACCGAGAGGCCGCGCTACTAGAAACGAAACTGTCATCGTACGTCTGGATCGGCACATCAACTCATTCGGCTAGCATTGTGACCGTGATCGACGCGAATAATCCCGCTGAAATATTGAACAGTTTCGGCGTTTGCTCCAACCACCTTTTATGCATTGCGAGTGTACCTGGTGCTAGTTGTAACGATTATGTATATAATAAAAACTCTACCAAAGCAAATATTAGTCTTGACGAGAAAAGCTTGGACGACGACAGTGGGATAGGTGATTCCAATCCAAAAAATTCAGAGGAAGTTGATCCAGAATTAGTGGTAAGTTGTTTGCATCTAAAAAACGTGCCCATTAATTTACAAGTGTACTTAGGTTGGAAAGGTTAGCTTTGTTGAGTACAATGATACGGTAAAAAACAAAAAAGATAAACGCAAACCTGCAGATCAAGAAGTGGCGGGGGAAAATGCAACTGAATCGCCGCCTGTCGAAAACTCAGATGAAAGCACTAATCATAAGCTGATGTCCAGTGTGTTGGCAACAATGTGGTTAGGTGCTCAGAATGGTATGCTTTTTATACATTCAGCAGTTGCAAATTGGAATCAATGTTTGCATTCAGTTAAATTGAGCGATGCAGTTTTAAGCATTGTGTAAGTACCGATTGCGCTTAATAAACTGGACCAATGTAATTGTTTCAGTCACGTGGATGGAAGTGTGGTGGTAGCGTTAGCAAATGGAACTGTGGCTGTGTTTTATCGTGATATTGAAGGTGAATGGGATTTATCTCAGTATCACCTCGTACAGTTAGGTCTCCCGCAACATTCTATAAGGTGTTTATCTGTTGTTGGTGATAAGGTGTGGTGCGGATATAGGAATAAAGTCCACGTGTTGGATCCGAGGGATCTGAAGGTTGTACATACTCTGGAAGCTCACCCCAGGAAGGAAAGCCAGGTTAAACAGTTAGCTTGGTTGGGTGAGGGAGTGTGGGTTTCAATTAGATTGGATTCGACTTTGAGGTTATATCATGCACATACTTACCAACATCTGCAAGATGTGGATATAGATCCTTACGTTAGTAAGATGTTAGGTAAGTTTTTTTGCCAACTTACTTAATTAGTTACATGATGTGAATAAACTTGAATTTTTTACAGTAATAATCCAAAAAGGAAATAATCCCCAGTTTGTAATTGTACTCACTTTTTCCTAAGAGCCGTGTTTTTGAAGAGAGGGCAGGCATAAGTGATGTTCATTTCTTTACGCAATTTTTCTATCCATCTTACTCAGTTAATTCTGTTCTTGTTCCTTTTTTTTACTATCGTTTGCATCTCTTTCGAGTTATTTTTTTTATTGCCTGCACCTTTGTGATCTTGCTCACATTAAGTTAACATTCGCGCCACGGACATGTTATTGATAGTCAGATGTGTTTTCACTGAATGCTAATTTACGTATGATTTAACTAAGAGGTGATTTGACCACTGCTTTAAAATTCAAACGTTTATAGCTGAACCGAGGGGTTACTCACTTGCGCAATACATATAAACTTTAATGCGCAATGTATGCAATCAAGTGCGCACTATACTGCATTCATTTTAAGAAGGTAGCGGTAGAAAGCATAGGGAGGCTTTGACCTTCACTGTGATTGGTTAAAACACGAGTCAGTATTATACAATGAAACATAAAACGACTGGTGAATTTTGTAAGGTGGTAGTTTATGTATGCCAACTAAACTGCCAAAGTGTCATTAGTTGTTATTGTCAAAGATTTATTTCTGTTTGCAGTGCTGAATATTCATACTTTACAATAATTTGGTGCCGTTTTATATTTTTCCTGTGCGTGTTTATCTTCAAACACAGCGCCATCCACTACCTTCTTATAATGAATGCAGTATAGCTGTGCATTTTGTTGCAATCGTTTCAGTGATCTCTAATTGCACAATCGGAGCAATTAATGCATGTACAGTTTAACTGTTTTTTTAACAGTGCAAATTAAATGATTACTATTTCCATGTTATTAACTGTCCATTATTTTATTTCAAAAGGTCATTATGGTAATTCTGGTCGCTGAAAATAAACGATCAGTAAGACTAAAAATCGCGTTAAATTAATAAATGGTCAGTAAGATTTTAAAAAACAGTCAGTTAAATAAATAAATAATCATATATAATACCATAAGTAGTCGAAGTATTGTCGAATATTTTTGAGGTGCTGTCACGAATGCTAGTTACGCTGATTAATACCACGAGCGCTTGCGCGAGTGGTATTAAAAAGCGTAACTAGCATGAGTGGAGCAGCAGCTCAAAAATAATCTACAAATACTTCGACTACGAATGGTATTCGGAGGACTATTCAATGAATCAAAAGAAAAATTAAGCATAATTACCCACGCGAATGTATTTCCATGACAACAATAAACGTCAAAATAAATTATGGAAGTTGCTTTTCATTTTGCTATTGATTCTATTCGAACTTTTGTGCTCCAAGCTAATTCGTTATGAGTGATTAAATTAAAAGATGTGGTGATAAGTCGGTTGTCGAAATTGATTAACAAACTAAGAAGAATGTTCCGGTTAATACGACAAAATTTCGCGTCATTTCACTGGTGGAAGTTTGACAAATGTCATTGAATAATCGCATTGAATTGTCGCTGAAATACCACACGTGAAATTATCGCTGAAATACCACACGTGCAATTATCACTATAATTCGTTCCCATTGGCGCAGCAATTTGAAATCGAGACATTTCACTGGTTGAAATGTGACAAATGTTAGATGAATTGAATAGTCAGTAAAATATGAAATGGTGGATAAAATTAACAATCGCCCAGTGCATATTAATAAACCTTGTGTTAAATAATAAATGTTCATATTTATTTCATGTAAGTAAAACACAAAACAAAAACATGAAGAAAAATATAAATGAATCAATAAAGAAATACAACGTAATATAGAAAAATAATAATAATAATCTGAAAATAATTATCCTTAAATTACGTGGAAAATACCTACCCTATTGGACAAGTAGCGCCTGCCTTGATTTGGTTTCAGCAGGTGGTGTTGCGTATTTCAGCCTTATTGCAACACCCGTTACGTACTTAAGTGCAGTTTACGTTATGTGATTTTGCCTACGATTTCTCTCGCGAGTTGCAATGTTTTCGGGTCCCATCATACTTATTCATAATTGTTGGTAGCAAATCGGATGATGTAAACAAAAAACCACCAAAACAATCCCTAACAAAACTCAAATGAATAATCGTATGCAAAATCATGTGGGAAATCATAAGCAAAATCACATAACGTAAACTGCACTTTACAAATTAATTTTTTGGGTAATTGCCAGTGCCTTCAATCCATTTGTTTGAATCATTCGGAAGAGTAGCAGCCCAAATGTTGAAAGTGACCGTTTCAAATGCTTCAAAGGTGGAAAAACTCACATTTCGAGTTTCCTCTAGTCTGCGACTTTATTACTTTGACCACCAGGAATGAAATAAACATTGCTTTTGGATATACAATGTGAGACAATCTTCTCTTTTCACAAACCAAATGCTTTGGAACTGCATGTATTGTCTTTGCATTTGCAGTGTACTGAAGAGACCCCAGGTATTTATGTATTACATAAGAACCACTACGAACCGAGATAAAGGCACTCTCGCCCGCAAAGTGCTCTCATCTAGATTCTCATCTTTAATCCCTCTGTTGAAAGATTCCAAGGCATTATTTGTAGACGGAACCAAACGCCTGCAAAACAGTTTGGATTACTTCTAGATTACTGTCTAACTATTTGTGTTGGAAATATTCTATAAATTGTTGTTGTTCGCCCTCCCATTGTGCAATATAACAAATGAGACGCCTTCTCAAAAACATGCTTACTATTATTCAGTGGTAATAAGTCAATATCTTTTAATATTTCGTTACGTTTCTCCTTTGGATGCACAATCTGTTCGGCTTTCTTGTGGACACATTTTTTCATATGTGCCCAACACATTATGATAGTAACATCCGATCCAAATACTATAAAGGCATTCTGGATGCTTTTAGCGGCATCACAAATAAGGTATTTTGGGCAAATTGACTTTTGAAATATATCTTGATCTTGATCGGCAGATTTTATTGTTTTGAACAAAAACATAAAATCTTCTGTGTGTTGGGTTAGTTGAGATCAGCATAAATGGACCTCACTTGTAGTAGAGAAATAATGCCTGTGTAGCCTGTAGCGCAATGCTCTCCTCTTTTTTAGCTTTGTTTACATTTTACCCCTCCTAAAAATATTAAGTAAACCAAGACGTCATTTTTATTACCGCCTATTGCATACTGGCCATTTATTAATTCTTACTGTAGATTTGCTGATTTATTACTAGCTAATCCATACTGAATTTTTTTTATTTCTGCTGACCATTATAATACTGACGAAATAGTTTTTTATTTGCGTATTATATGTCAGTTATATCTGTCATACGAATTATATAAAGTAGCCCATGACGTCCGAGGGCATAATGGGCTATAATCTCATTAGGCCCTCAGACGCCCTGCCAATAGCTATTTATGCATCAAGGGCATTAAGACGATATTTATGCCGAGGGATTGTGAGTTGCCCGAGGGTTAAATATCGAGTAATGCCTGAGGTGCATACAAAATATTTTAAAGCAAAAAAAGAACATCGGAGAAAAAATTTTTTGAAATTTGTTTTATACACATGATTTTATGGAATTTGTAACAGATTAACTAATGCTACATAGAGGTGATACAGCAAATGTTTGTATTCGAAACATGCTTTAATGAATAAATTATAAGAGATGTAACAATGTGTAATAAAGATAAAATCCATTATTCACCCTGGCATAAACTGTTGTGTAAATAGCTGTTACGTCTATCCACAGGAACCGGAAAAGTTGGATTCTCATTCGTGCGGATAACTGCGTTACTAATTTCTTCCAATCGGTTGTGGATTGGAACGGGAAATGGTGTGATCATATCCGTTCCTCTGAGCGAAAGCGGTGGATCTTGTGCGGCGATAGTACCACGCGGAACCATTTTGCCGGGCGCAGGCGTTCGCGTCACTCCGATTCCCGGAAGCTACATACCATATTGCTCGATGGCGCACGCCCAGCTTAGCTTCCATGGCCATCGAGATCCTGTGAAGTTCTTTGTTTCCGTCCCTGGAAATGGAGGTAGGTCACAAGAGGGATCATTAAATCCAGGAATTACAATACACTGCATGTTTCTACTGTATTTGAAAAAATACACAGATGGTGGAAGTGAAAAAAAATGGCGGAGGCTGGTATTACATTAGAAATAAAAAAAATTACCCCATAGACGCTTTTTCTTGCGTTGGTTAGTTGAAACATGATTAAATATGAAAATCGTTTGACGTTAAACAACGATAACTTAATGCGATGCGCTTGTAGTTAAAAAGATTACAAAGCATCACTGATTTGTAAAAATGTAATTTTTTATTTTGTCGATTTCTACGGCTTTGCAAAACGGAAAATTATAAGTAATCGTATGAACAGATGCAGTATTTTTTTCTCTAAAAAAAACGTATTTATTTTATAAAGAAATTGCCATTGAAACCCCTATGCTGCGTCGCGCTAAGACTACCCTATATAATGGAATTAATAATATGATAAATCAAAACGCTAATTTTGTGGACTTCTGATACAAATAACTATTCCGTTCCTTTTGCTGTGGAGACGCTTCTATGACCCTTCTACTAGGATGAAGCTTTGCAACTGACAAAAGAACTTGCCAAACTTCTTTCCATTAAAAGCGGTGATGTAAGATCCACATCCTTTCTTTATCAAAAACTTGGTAGTATTGCCATAAAAAGAGGAAATTCTTGGTCCATCATGGGAACTTTTCCTCCTGGTCTGGTAATAAGATCGGCCAATTTTTTTTATAGTAGATTTATTTTCTATTATTTTATACCATGTTAATTACGTAATGTTTAAAATCTATTTTCGTGAAATGTTGAGTAAATAAATTTATTTAAAAAAAAAACTGAAAGTTTCATCAAATGTTTTATCATCAAAAACAGAGGCGGACTAGCAGCCCTGACCACTCTAGGCAGGTTTTAATTTTAGAGCGCGTGATTGTGAAAATATTATGCCAGTTGTGGAAGGAGTTGCCCCTTATTTGTAGCCACTCTAGGCCCAGTCCTACTTGGCCTTATGGAAAGTCCGCCACAATTTTATCAATTTAACGTTACCACTTGCAGCACCAGGGGAAAATCTACAGAGGCTTCATCTATATTCTAGGCTAGACTTAAAAGTCTCCCAACAAATAAAATCCAATAGCTGCAAAATTATACAATACTAAGAATCTTCTTCATCGAAAAAATATGCTTGCGGGTATTGCAAATACTGATTATGGGTTAGTTTTTGTGTCGTTGCAATTTTTCTACGGCGCGCCATATTTTTGCGCTGATTAAGTAAGGTTGCCATTAGCGACTGCTGCGGAATGTGCTTTCTGAATCTTCTCTTCGACTTAATGTTATTCCCGACGTGGGCAACGCCCTTCAGCTCGTAATCGCCAGTTTCATCGTTAAAAGTTACGTTACAATTTATTTTCGCCAGCAGTGCGTTGGGAATAGCGAATTCGATGAGTCGGTTACTCCTCTGCAATTCGCTGGTTACTACGCTGTTATTTTCGAACAGTTGCGTCAGCTCAGCTTGATGCTCCTGCCGCTGTTCGTCGCGCTTCACTCTGAGAGCATTTAGTTGGGATCTCATTCTTTCTATCCCTTTACCAAGTTCTTTGTCTTCCTCCTGTAGGGAACCATACTGCCCTTCCAAGCCGATACGTTCGTTTTGCTTCTCGCCGAGCGTATCCTGTAATTCTTGCTGCGATTTGTCGAGCTTCTGTATTTCGTCCGATACACTCTCGAGAAGAAATTCTTGTTCCTGAATTGTTCGTCCTCCGATGAGAATTTTATTTTGTAATGCGGAAATGCGGGAGTTTAACTCATTCTTGACTTGTTCCAAATCAAAAATCTCCATATCAGGCTTGCAAGGGCGTTTCTTGACCTTTTGCTCTTCGACAATTAACACCAACTTGCTTTGTAGGTGCTGAATTTCGTTTTCCAAATTTTCGATTAAACCCGCATTTGTTTGTATATTCAATCTAACGGAATTTTTGATGAGTTTGGTGCGACTGGCATAGCGGAGAGTGTTTAAAGTTTCTTCGTAATCTGCATTGCAAGGACTAATCGTGGCGATCATAACTGTTTTTGAGTTGCCCCCTAGAGAATCCTGTAGAAGGCGTGTCAGCTTGGATTGGCGGTAAGGTATATGACTTGAATTTTGTTCAACTAGCGCCGATATTACGTTACTAAGCACAAAGAGGGATTGGTTTATGTGTATCGCTTCTTTAAAACCATGTCCAGTCACTTGACTTCGTTTTAAACGTTCTGATCCGGCCAGATCAACCAGGTTGAGTTTCGCAAACGTAACTTTGGAAGATAGGTTGTCTTTAGTTTCGATCGTTACTGTAAAGATGGCGTGTGAGCGAGAACTAAACTTATTCATCAAGGTCGCTCGCGTTTTTCGATTTGCGCTACTTATCTCTATCAATTTGTTGATGGACTCTACACAGTCCACAGTGTAGCTCATGACTCCTTTGACATAGACCCCCGTATCGACACACTCTCGAAGTTCCAGCTTTTGATTTGGATTTGATGATAAGAGGTCTCGTATCTCCTCGTTGTATATTTCAATATGCGTTGCTGTTACAACAAAGGACTTTTCTCCACTATCCTTCGCGATTTTACTGAAAATGTGGGAAAAAGTATTCGGAATGATACCTTTTAGCTCGTCAACGTATTGATTTCCCGACATGGTGTGAGTTTTCCCGCTTCCTGTTTGACCGTACGCAAAAATTGTGCCATTATACCCGTTAAAAAATTGTTCAATGATCGGCTGCGCAGCTTTCTGGTAGAGATTGAGCTGCGTACACGCAGGTGTAAAAATGTGATTAAACTGAAAAGTTTTGCTCTCCCTCGCCATTTGGGGTTTAGACAACGTGAGAATATTTTCGCGAGGTTCGATCATAAGAACAGTTTCGGAATCTTCTTTTTTGATCGCTGGGCACACTCGAACCACAACACGAACGTTTTCAATTGTTGGTTCAGACATCACCTTAACACTAAACAAGAGACTGATTAAAAATAGATGTGTAAAAATAGCGACTGTCAAAGCTTATTGCTACTTTGATCTATTTGTAAGAAGCCCATGACAGATATAAATAGAACGCAAATGCGATATGATTAATATGCATTGCACGTTGAACCATTCCCTACATTGTGCTCCTGTTTATAATTCTAATCAGATAGCAAACTTTGTTCAGTTGTTTGATTTGATTGAAGGCGAATTATGAGCTCATCCTAAAATCAATTAAACCAGTAATTTAAAATAGAGTTTCATCAAATCTCAACCCTTTCACGTAATTGGAGATTGATATAAAAATTTCAATACTTACATACTTTCCAGAAAGAAGAAAGTTGGCTCTCCAGACAAGCGCACTCCGTTTTGTATCATAGTGATTAAAATTTTAAGAAAATTTATATTTGAAGAATTATGACCGTTCCCGCTTACGGAAGGTCAGAGGGGGTGAAATGTAATGGGAAAACTATTTCTTTCGTTAAGATGTCTTGTTAGTTAGAGGTAGTGAACGCTGAATGGCATGCTCATTTCTCCTTTTTGTTATTGTTGACCTTGACATTGGGTCAACCATATTAGAAATTTTGGTTACTAGACGTGCGTATTTATACAGCCCTCCCAATTGCAGAAGTAGTTTCCCTTCCCCTAAGTTTTAAAAGAGAATGCAAATATATGTACATTTTCGATTACTAAGCAATTTCAAGTGTGTCCCAAATCGCGTGGGATTGCATTAATGAAATTATTATTAAAGATAGAGAATTGGTTAAATGGACAATGTTTTGCAGTTTTAGATGCTTATTCAAAATGGCCGAATAGGTTGGACGTAAATTCAAAAAAACTAAAGTTGGTCATTTCCTTGAATGTCTTATATTGGAGATGGAAAGTATACGAGATACAAAAAAAGTGTTATATAAAAGTTACTGTCTTTGATATGCTTAATTTAGAATTGATGTCAAAAAAAAATTCAAGATGGCTACTTTTGAGGAACATTTACCAACTTCCTAAACTTAATAGTCCGGTCGATACATCACATACCGTGCGTTTTTGATAGTGGACCTTTTTTTTATTGTTGTAATTAGTTCATTAGGTATTAAAGATTAAATTTATGACGGGAGCCATTTCCAAAATATTGTCGTTCGGCCGCCATATTAAGTTGTACCAACGAACACCAGAAATACTTAGACTGGAAATTTGTTTTGTCAGGTTGTTGAGTCAATATCAGTAATTACTTCCAATAATAAACCGATATACAATCCAAATGATTTGAAACGGTTCCAATAAGTATAATTAACCATATTGACCTACGAAACCTTTTAGACTACTTGCTTGCAAGTACTTCCCTGTGATTTTATTTACCTAATTTAGTTTATTGTAATTATTCTAATTATTTCAGGTCTGTCCCGCGTCCAGTTCGTCATATTAAATTTCGCGAAACGCATTTTTTCTTTATTCGACCCCCCCCCCCCCGCCCCCTCCTAAAAATTAGGACTTCACGAAAAAATTACGAGAGGGCGTGTCGTCGGACGCTCTCGAGATTTAAGAATTTTAAAAAAATTTTACGGTCACGTTTGCGAACGATTGGCGAAAAAGTGCCCAAAAAAGGTAACTCCCTCCTCCTCGTGCTTCGACGGTCCGCGATCGAACCCCGACCCGGCACCTCGGAAGCGCCCTCGAACCGCGAGTCCGAGACGGAAAACCGCAACTCGATCCGCCCCCCGTTCCCCCGCCGCGACCCACGGACTTTACCTCCACGTAGCGGGGGAGTGCGGGGGGGTGCGACGCGCGTCGGAAGCGTCTCGACATCCCGCGTCCGTTTCGACACCACCGCCGTCGCTCGACTCGGTTTCCTATTTTTCCCGGGGGAAAAACTGTTTTACCCCCAAAAAGCGCACTTTATAAAAAAATTCACAGGCGCCTCGCCCGCAGCACTATTCTTTCGCGCGACGAAGTCGGCCAGCGGCGCGCAACGTAAAGTTTTTTCGTAACTCTTCTCCTTCGTCCGCCGCGAATTTTCAAAGTCGCGCTTATGTCGGAAAACGACCTCCAGGGCAAAGTTCGCGTCCCACCCCCACCTCCCTCGGTGGTCGAGGCGGATCGAAAAAAATTGTAAAAGTGACGTAACGTAACGGCTACGGATTCCGAAAGTACCGAGTCCGTAGGTAGTATAACTTCTCCTCCAGGTCCGAAAAGGTGTTTTTTCGCGTTTTTTTCACGTCTTACGGCAGCCCCCCCGCCGGAGGGCGATAAAAAATTTCACCGTACGCGATTCGACGCGGCCGTCCTCGGTACCCCCCGGGCCGCGGCGGCTTCCGCGCGACACTTACCTTTGGTCCTCCGGAGGGGGTTTTATGGGGAAAAACACGAATAGGGGGGTGGCGCGGGGGGAAAACCGGTCGAACGATTTGCTTCGTTTTTACTTATTTTCATGTCGTCGACGTACTCGACGATTTTACAAATTTTCGTGAAAATCCTGCAGGCGGTTTCGAATATGCTTTGGGTGGAAGTCAGAAGAGACCAGATTGCGGCCTGTTATGTATACAGAACCTGCATTACCCAGGGTTGCCCAAATGATTCTTCAACACCAAAATAACGAAGAGGTAGAAGAACGAGAAGCCGATGAACCATTCATTGTCAATGATTCAGCAGTGGAAGACAGCGACACGGATGATGAATAAATATTAATATTTTGTTTCTTTTAAGTGCGTAGCTAAATGTTATATTTTTTAACCACCCTGTATAATAATCCAATTTCTGCAATATACAGGGTGTATCATTAATATTGCGAAAAAATTCAGGGTGAGATTCCTTGCATAAAACTAAGAATAAAAGTTCATATAAACATGTTTCCAAAAATGCCTCGTTTCCGAGATACAGGGCGTTGAATATTATGCAATTGAAAATAAAACTTTTTTGTTTCCTCTACATCATCACTTGTCGGATCACTCTATCGAGAGTGCCATTGACTTTTTATATGAAAGTCGTTACTTTACAGCGATTTGACAGTTGTTAGGTTTCTTTTTCAAAATGAATTACGCAAATAGTGAAATGTGCGATATGCATTTTTGTTACATGTTTATATGAACTTTTATTCTTATTTTTATGCAAGGAATCTCACCCTGAATTTTTTCGCAATATTAATGATACACCCTGTATGTTCTAAATATTTACAGGTTTTTAATTTAAACCTAAAAGTTTAAAATAACAATATTTTTCAAATAGGTAAGTTAGTTTAACCATCTTTTTGTTTTTCGGGATGAAATTCAAAATGGCGGCCAAACGACAATTTTTTTTACGAGGCTCCCATCTTTAAAATAATTAAAATCATGTTAAAAGCGAGTATCAGTAATAAAAAAAAGGTCCCCACAGAAAACGCACGGGACTTACTATCTCGACCGGACTATAAATAGGCGTCATATTGGATTTTTAGATTACTTAATAGATTTTTTAAATTCTCTTTTCAACGAGTTATGATATCAACGGTTTTTATATTTTAATCTAGTAGTGTGTGGATGAATTAAAAAAAAACAAAATAATTATAATAATAATAATTTATTAGCATGTTATTGTGGCAAGGCACTTACATTTGTCTAAAGGCAGATGGAATAAAATCTATTCAAGGCAACAAAACAATGACACCAGAATTTTGAATTGGTTGATGACAGCTTTGACTTAAGAAATGGCTTGCCACCGAGAACCAAACTTTGCTTATTCAATTGGGAAGAACAAGAGACCTCACAATCACAAACTTCTCTACCTGTATTATTTAACAGGGCTCTCCTTTTCACTTTAGAATTCAATGCTCGTCTACAGTGCAGTTTTTAACGTGTTGCAAGTTGTAGGTGACATTGTAAAAAGTATATTTTAGGTATGAGTGCTGCATCCACACCTTCTGAAGCAACATCAGCCGCGGTTACACCCATTAACGGCCCGATGAAGACACCAGCTGCCATGTTGGTCATGTCCGGTGGAGATGGATACATTGACTTCAGAATTGGTGGGTGTACCTTTTATGCTTCTGTTTACACACGTAATTTTGGAATGTTCACTAACCATATTTTTGATGGTAAAGTACAAATTGACCAACTGTGACTATCCACAAGTAGAACGTTTGCCCGATGTACACTCTAGCGCATTGTTTGCTTTTAATGTATTTATATTCCTCATGCCCCTGAAATTATCGATTGATTATTGGAAACAGTTTCTATTTGTACTTAAAATAGCACGGAACACTAACACTGTGTAACTCTTTACATATCACATTGTACACAAAACAGTTTTCTATAATAGGTACAACCAAATTTGTGTGATTTCGTTGCTATTTAAAAATAGTTTTGCTCTAATTAATTACACTGTATAAGTTGTAAATAATAATGGATTCCTGGGAGTGTCAACATGTTTTTGGTAACGGCTTATTTTTTATCTTTTGCCCGCTTTGTAAATAGTACAAAATAATGCAAATAACAACGCTTTGTATAATGGTTGTATATTATCAAAAAAAGCCAAAATTTACAGAGGAGGATGCTAATGAACCAAAAGATGTGGCTTCTCATCTTCTTGTTTGGCAGCTCTTAACTGATATTCCTGGGAATCCCACAGGGTAGGTTGCGAATACCTTTTGTTTCTTTCATAGTATGTAGATAGCGATTGATTGTCGTGATTTCTTAGGTGACGGTGAAATGGAGGAGAGCGTTACCGAGGAACCACCAGTGACTGATCTAGAAGCTATAACTCAGGGTGAAAATAAGGATGTAAAGAGTCATTTAATTGTATGGCAAGTGTCACTAGGATAATTCATTTTTAGCAAAAGACAATTATATAGCGATTTTAAATATTATATATATTCGCATAGAATTTGCTAGCAAAATTTTACATATTTATAGGTTTTAAAAATAGTGACACTAGGACGTACGATGTAGAATTTTTTAATGGTAATACACTTCCTCTCCAGATTTTTAATTAATTCATTTTTCAATCGAAAATGAGGCTTTTAATTTTCTTATGACATTGTCAAAATATTTATTGTTGTCATTTTATGTAAATTATGTAAATGCTTACATGTATTGTATGTGTAGCTCTTGTTTTGCTTGTGATTAGAATATTTCGCAAAGCAGTTTGTTTTTATTAAACATTTTTTTTATTAAGACTGATAGTATTATTTCACCACTTTATCCAACACTCATTTAATAACGACAGTTTGTTGTAATTTTATTCATCACTTGTTCAATTCAGATGTCCTAAAATAATTTGGGGAACCAATAATCGCATGTTACGAATTTTACATTGAAATCCCTATTATGCGTTACGCAAGTCACCACCCTGTATACAACTCTGTGTTCACTGCTGACCATATATATAAGAGAAGTTGAGAAGTATATATATGCTGCTGACAGCCACAGCCATATTTGTTTCCACTTTCTAAGACTTGCAGATGTGTTGTACATTGACTCCTTCGGTACTGCGCATACGCAAGCGCGCTTAAATTTGAATTTCATTTAATGCACTCGAAATTAATAAAGCCTTCGGTCATCACTGTGAATTCCAGTTACATTATAGCCCCAACTTGAAAGCAACCGTCACGATCCTTTACAGCATAATATGGAATAAACAACAAGGATTGTAACGTTATTAGGTATTTATTATAATCAAAACCCTTCTACCATCATGGTGTACGGAAATAAATGAACATATTCTACCAGATAAGTCACTATAAACTATTGTGCTCCATTTTTTCCTATCTCGCGTTAACTTCTTAAGGCGCAGATAGACTAGCAAGCAGGGGCGGACTGACCCGGGGGGGGGGGGCGGTCGCCACCTGGCCTGTAGATCATAATGGCCCATTGGAAATTTATAAGTATGTGCTGTATTTAGTTTCTTGCACTATTAATAAATTATTAACACGTTTCTCTAATTGGGGTTGATATTAGGTTGTAAAAAATTCTGTTTTCTGTAATTGAAGTGTTTTACAATGAATTTATCATTTTTTGTCGTAGCATTAAAGTGCTGAAATACAATGATAGGCGACGCACCTCGTGTGGATTGTATATTTTGTTACTTTTAATTATCAGCTACAATTTAAAAAAAACTGTATGGTAATTTTCTAGTATAAGAAAATTTTTTCCTGGTCGATCTGAGACAATTTTTTCTTCGGGGCTCAAAAATGGCAGTGGATTACCTTCCTTTTTTTACCAAAAATCGACTACAATAAAAATTCTCGGGAAAACACTTTTTCTTATTAATTTGGGTGCGTAGAATCCAAATCAATCCGTACTTTTTCGATCAGACTTCTCAATCAAAAGTTATAGGCTAGAAACCAATTTCGAAAAAAAATTCAAAGGGCTGTAACTTTTGAACTTGTAGCCCAATCTTGGAACTGTTTGAAATTATGGATTCTACAGGCCACATTCTATAAGAAAATTTTTTTTCCGGGTCGATCTGAGACAATTTTTTTTTCGAGGCTCAAAAAAAGGCAGTGTATAACCTTCCTTTTTTACCAAAAATCGACTACACCAAATTTTCTCGGGAAAACACTTTTTCTTATTAATTTGGGTGCGTAAAATCCAAATCAATTCGTACTTTTTCGATCAGACTTCTCAATCAAAAGTTATAGACTAGAAACCAATTTCGAAAGAAAATTCAAAGGGCTGTAACTTTTGAACTAGTAGATCTTAGAACTGTTTGAAATTATGGATTCTACAGGCCGCATTCTATAAGAAAATTTTTTTTCCGGGTCGACCCGAGACAATTTTTTCTTCGGGGCTCAAAAAAAGGCAGTGTATAACCTTCCTTTTTTTACCACAAATCGACTACACCAAAATTTCTCGGGAAAACACTTTTTCTTATTAATTTGGGTGCGTAGAATCCAAAACAATTCGTACTTTTTCGATCAGACTTCTCAATCAAAAGTTATAGACTAGAAACCAATTTCGAAAAAAAGGGCTGTAACTTTTGAACTAGTAGCCCAATCTTGGAACTGTTTGAAATTATGGATTCTACAGGCCACATTCTATAAGAAAAAATTCCTGGTCGATCTGAGACAATTTTTTTTTCGGGGCTCAAAATTATTAACACGTTGTTCTAATTGGGGTTGATGTTAGGTTGTTAAAAAATTCTGTTTTAATTGAAGTATTTTAGAATGATTTTTCATTTGTACGCAAATTCAAATTTTAGCGCGCTTGCGGTTGCGCAGTATTAAAGGAGTCAATGTGCAACACATCTGCAACTAGTCTTTCTATGTTCTAACCTTACTTTTTCTTTTGAGCATTTCGTGAGGTGTGCACGTTCTCGATACTAAAATCCATTAATTTACATTCCTAATTTAACAAAATGGTAGTGTTTACATGTAACAACTGCGGTGACAGTTTACAAAAGCCTAAAGTTGAAAAACATTACGTTACAGCTTGCAGAGGGGTAAAAAATCTCACGTGCGTGGATTGCTTAAACGACTTTCGGTAAGTTGTGCTACTTTTGACAAGCTTTACAGTTGTATTATTCAGAGGGGAGGAGTACGCTACACATACTAAATGCATTACCGAGCAGGAAAGGTATTCTGCTAAAGGTAGCGTGACAAATGTTGTCGGCAAAGGTGAGGCGAAACAGCAGCAGTGGAGCGACATGATAAACGAAATTATTCATAATACTAAACCTATGGGTGCTCAAAAATGTATATTTCAAATAATCTCAAACCAAACTCAAAATGTACCACGTAAGAAGATGAAATTTATAGTAAGTGATACACTGATTTGTCAAGTTTAACCTTATACGACTCCTTGCAGAATTTTATCAAAAGCTCCTCAGGAAACAAAGTTCAGAATCCAGATATTGAAGCTGTGTGGGATTTAATTGAAAAACATAAGGCGGATGCTTCTGCAAGTGTAAATGCAGTCGATCTGACGACTGCTAAACCTCCAACGGAGGAAGCAACCAAGACTGACGCAGTAGAAAATTCATCTCCTCAAAAGAAAAAGAAATCCAATCATTCAGAATCTGATACTGTTAGCAATACCATTAGTCCGCAAGATGATGGTAGTGAGGGAAAGAAGAAAAAAAAGAAATCTGAGAATGTCACCCCCATAACGACAACCAAATTGCCAGTGAATGGAAGTGAGGGAAGAAGTTCACAAGATGGTGGTGGCGAGGGAATGAAAAAAAAGAAAAGGAAACCCGAGATAGTAAATATTGCTCCTATCACCACATCCAATAGTGGCAACTTGCTATTAAATGGAAATGAGCAAATTAGTCTACAAGATGATGGTAGAGAGGAAAAGAAAAAGAAGAAAAGGAGATTAAATACCATTACGACAACCAATGGTCATGATAACTCGTCAATAAAAGAGAGTGAGGAAAATACTAAAAAGAGAAAATCGGATACTGTCATTTCAGAAGTTAATAGCTCAGATATCCATGCTGATACACACTTGGACAAGAAGAAAAGGAAGATGAATAATGTTCCTGAAAAAAGTATAGTTAGCGAAAGTAGTGTTCAAGAAAATTCCAAACCCAACGATAGTATTTCAAAGAAAAAGAAGAAACAAAACCAAGAAAACACAGAGGTCAAAGTGAAAAAGGCAAAACTAGATGCCAATGGCAGTACTTCCAAAGAGAAGAAAAAAGGAAAACCACAAACTGGTGCAGAGGACATAAACGGTCCTGAAGCAGTTGTCAGTGCTGATGAGCCTAAGCTGAATGGAAATGACAGTAGTTTAACCGATAGTTTAATTCTAATCACCTTAAAAAAGTTGCAGAAGAAGAATAGTTTGCGTTTTGACAAATTGCAGAAAAAAGTTCTTGCCGAGTACTGTAAGGAGACCAATGTAAGGAAGAGTCCTAAATTGGTAAAGCAATTTAAAAAGAAGCTGAGGAAAATGAAGGGTGTGGAGATTGTCAATGATAATGTTACACTAAAAACATTTGACAGATGCTAAAAGTTGTTTTATTCGATGAATTGTAAATGTCTAACACAATGGTTTTATTTCATACTCGATCATTTTTTAAAATTTTGTATTGGTCATGTCTCCCAGTAACATCAAAAACACGATTGATTCTATTAAAAAAATTACCTTTTCAACACTCTACTTTGTGAACGCATCCTGCGTAATTTAAAATGTTGAGAATATGTAATACGAAAGCACTCCATCGAAAAATCTTATCTTCAAGGCGCAATCGTTCACTCGCCCTGTTCAATTAATTATTAATTAATCTATAACGGCACTTAAGTTAATTTTTAAGTGATTCAGAACAGTTAATTGTTACTTATCACTTGTACTCAAACATGTAGGCACTTTATATCATATGTCCTGGAAAGAATGCGTCATACCTGCTTTCATTGTTTTTTATCGCCGGTGACTAATCTTTTTGTAGGCTTGATGGCGTCTTGATACCGCTTTAGAAAATTCTCTACAACACATTTAGATGTGGTTGGGATAAAGTCAGCAGTGCGAATTTCCCTGTTAAGTATATGTACCTCTAAATCACCACATATGACAACTGAAAGTCGTACACAATTAAAAATGTTTTAGTTGCAAGACACTAATTGAACAATCCGTATATCCAAATTTTCAGAAATTAACTCGCGTTAGTTTTCTTTTGTTATGACGTTTCCTTCATTATTTATATTGGAAGCAGCTTTGTATAGTAAGAATAATATATCCATGTTTAACCAGCAATCAGATAACCATGACTATAATACAAGACAAACTATAAATCTGAATACAAAATTCTGCAGATTACGTCAGCCAAGCAAAATGGAACTTTATTTCTGGGCCAGTCTCTTTACAACTGTCTCCCTTTAAATGTTAGAAATCTCTTAGTGTCAAGGAACTTAAGGTGTCTAAAAAATTATTTATTCTATTCTTTTGAAGAATTTGTTCAGTCCGTTAGAAATGTTAACTGTATTTTAGTTAGTCATGTAATTGTTGATACGTGTTTTCCTATGTATATTGTACCTACTATATTTTTTTACGCTTTTAAGTTCTTTGCACGATATCATTAAACATATAATTATTTATTGTCGTTGTTGTCCGACTCGTTACATGATAATTCAAAAGTTTATGGGACAAATTGCGTACATTTGCACACATTGCAGGCGTATTATTTGCCGTTTGGAAATGACACTTGTTAATTTTAAGACCGGTAGGCCGTATCGTTCTGCGCATCCGCAGAAGTAACTTTCTTATTTATGGACCGATCTTACTGAAATTTAACAGTAGCACCCTTTACTACATGCTAATCGATCCATTAAATTGAACATGTAATTCTGAACAACCTTGTGCATGTAAAGGTGATCTTGTTGGACCATACACTTTATAGCCTCAAGCACGGTATAAACCAACTTATTCCCATGCGACATCTTTTTATTTCCTAAACTTAAACAAAAATTACGCGGTCATCATTTTTAGCGCATTTTTGCAAATTTATTTGTAAAAAGTAGCTTAATCTCACTTTGGCTGGCTGGCTGGCTGGCAGCAAATGTGGGCGCGTAGAAGAACTCTTGTAGAAAGGCAACGGGTGTACGTGTATCTACAGGGCCGTGAAATTTGTCAACCTTAGGGACATGGCTACATGATGTGGGGTTGGCGACATCTGGGCGTCATCCTCGAGCGTAGTATACTAACGTGAAGGTTTTTCAGTTTTTTCCTATCTTCTACTACAGTTTTGGTCCGATTCTTTTCAAATTGGTGTCGTCGGAAAGATGTTGTAAACGCGCACAACTCCTGCGTGGCGGAATTTTGTTTTTGTCATAGGGGCGAAATTAACGACCTTTTGCGAGGCGCGCGCGCGCGTCTTCGAGAAGTAGTCAGGCGCCTTTTACCTTCCGTTGCGAACTCACGCGGTTTAACGTTTCGTGAATCTCGAATCGCTGTCTCTCTTTCTCGTGTCGCCAATAGAAGTGAATTGCGAGTGAACGGGACGTCGGAAGTGGGTACCGTAAAAGAGAATGTCGGAAGGGGGTACCGTCAAAGGAATGTGGTAGCCCGCGACACGATCTTCACTGATGGTGGAGTCAAATCTTCAAACGCGAATTGCGGGTGAACGGGACGTCGGAAGGGGGTACCGTCAAAGGAATGTGGTAGCCCCCGACACGATTTCCTGATGGTGGAGTCAAATCTTCAAACGCGAATTGCGGGTGAACGGGACGTCGGAAGGGGGTACCGTAAAAGGAATGTGGTAGCCCCGCGACACGATCTCACTGATGGTGGAGTCAAATCTTCAAACGCGAATTGCGGGTGAACGGGACGTCGGAAGGGGTACCGTCAACGGGAATGTGGTAGCCCCCGACACGATCTTCCTGATGGTGGAGTCAAATCTTCAAACGCGAATTGCTGGTGAACGGGACGTCGGAAGGAGGGTACCGTCAAAGGGAATGTGGTAGCCCCCGACACGATCTTCCTGATGGTGGAGTCAAATCTTCAAACGCGAATTGCGGGTGAACGGGACGTCGGAAGTGGGTACCGTAAAGGGAATGTGGTAGCCCGCGACACGATCTCACTGATGGTGGAGTCAAATCTTCAATCGCGAATTGCGGGTGAACGGGACGTCGGAAGGGGGTACCGTCAACGGGAATGTGGTAGCCCCCGACACGATCTTCCTGATGGTGGAGTCAAATCTTCAAACGCGAATTGCGGGTGAACGGGACGTCGGAAGGGGGTACCGTCAAA